TAAGAATAATCACTAGCGGATTAAGGGGGCACCCCACCCTCCGCCCCTAAAATTGTCAAAGCATGATTTTAAAAAAACCCATTAATAATGCCATAATACTTTGGCACAATTCCACTATTTTTGTGCCTAGTTTTACTCTGAAAATTCACTAAAACCCAGTAGCCCTTTTCACAAAAATTCTTACGATTTTTCGTAAGATTTTGAGTTACGATTCTCGTAAGATAAATCTTACGTCAGTTTCACAAACACACTCATAAGACTGAATAAAATCTTACGAAAACTCTTGCGATTTTCATCCACGATTCTCTTAAGATTACACTTACGAGAAAAAGCTTTCTTGACAACGTACTTTCATTTTCTTGTGCACATGCGTATTGCATACTTGCGTAATTACATTCTGTCGTCTAAAGGTGCGTGATATTGAGCTTTTGTCATGTCGAGTCTTAAAAGAAAGCCAAATTGGAGTTCGGCGGAAATTGAGGCGCTTACACAGGCGGTGACAGATAATATTAGAACAGTGAAAGGGAAATTTACCCCCGCCCTCACCCAAGACGTGAAGATATTCATATATATACATTTAATGCAGACTGACTGCAGAAGGATCAATGAAGGGGTTAATAGTTTTAAGACCTTTATTAGGCCTAATTGTGGATATTAACGAAAAAGAATTCCTTCAGCTGTTTTTCTTTACTTTTTTCTTTTTTTGTTTTTCTTTTTTGGTTCGGTTGTTTTTCTTCCAGAAATAAAACAAAAAACAAAACATGTTGATCATGTATAGAGACACACGTCAAAATATGAAAATAGGGATAGGAATTGAGAAAATTTGTGATGTAAAGATAATTTCGTGGTAATGATATATGAGTGTGTGTATTTGAAGTAATGCCTAATGGGTATAATTGATACATGATTCATTTGATCAAGACTTATCTTTTACCTAGCTTTCTTCTCATGTGAATGTGTCAAAAATGTCATATTTCACTTAAATTTATTTCTTTAAAAATGAAAAGAAATATGAATAAATATATTTAGTTCTTTAAAAATGTTATTAAAATTACAATTAAAATTGTGAAAACTGAAAGATTCGTGTATATTATCTAATCGGAAAGAAACCTAGTTTTGAAAGAGTAGATTTTAATTTGTCCCACTAAGTGAAATGTGTTTTATTTATGATGTTACACTATCACTATAAGTATTCAAAATACCTCAAATTTATGCTGCATTTCCAAATTGCTGAGAAAATAATCAGGAACAAATACAATTCAACTTAATTTGTACAATCCCTCTTTGGTAGCATATAATGGAAATTTAAAATACATGAATCTATTATTATATCAAACAGTTTTTTAGCTCACCTGAGCCGAAGGCTCAAGTGAGCTTTTCTGATCAAAATTTGTCCGTCGTCTGTCGTCGTTGTCGTTGTTGTCGTCGTTAACTTTTAACATTTTCATCTTCTTCTCAAGAACCACTGGACCAATTTCAACCAAACTTGCAACAAAGTATCCTAAGGTAAAGGGGATTCAAGTTTGTTCAGATGAAGGGCCACGCCCTTTTCAAAGGGGAGATAATAATGAATTAGAGTAAAATTAATGGCATTTTAAAAAAAATCTTCTTCTCAAGAACCACTGGACCAGAAAAGATGAAACTCGTGTGGAATCATCCTCAGCTAGTGAAGATTCAAATTTGTTCAAATCATGACCCCCGGGGGTAGGGTGGAGCCAAAATGGCCGATCAAAATTTAACAGGAATATATAGGAAAAATCTTTTAAAAATCTTCTCAAGAACAACTGGACCAGGAAAGATGAATCTCATGTGGAATCATCCTCAGGTAGTGTAGATTCAAGTTTGTTCAAATCATGACCCCCGGGGGAAGAATGGGACCAAAATGGCCGATCAAAATTTAACATAGGAATATATAGGAAAAATTTTCTTCTCAAGAACCACTGGACCAGAAAAGATGAAACTCGTGTGGAATCATCCTCAGGTAGTGTAGATTTAAGTTTTTTAAATCATGACCCCCGGGGGTAGGGTGGGGCCAAAATTGCCGATCAAAATTTAACAGGAATATATAGGAAAAATCTTTTAAAAATCTTCTCAAGAACAACTGGACCAGGAAAGATGAATCTCATGTGGAATCATCCTCAGGTAGTGTATATTCAAGTTTGTTCAAATCATGACCCCCGGGGGAAGAATGGGACCAAAATGGCCGATCAAAATTTAACATAGGAATATATAGGAAAAATTTTCTTCTCAAGAACCACTGGGCCAGGACAGATGAAACTCATGTGGAATCATCTTCAGGTAGTGTAGATTCAAGTTTGTTCAAATCATGACCCCTGGGGGAACGGTGGGGCCAAAATGGCCGATCAAAGTATAACATAGGAATATATATATAGGAAAAATCTTTAAAAATCTTCTTCTCAAGAACCACTGAACCAGGAAAGATGAAACTCATGTGGAATGATCCTCAGGTAGTGTAGATTCAAGATTGTTCAAATCATGACCCCCAGGGGTAGGGTGGGGCCAAAATGGCCGATCAAAATTTAACGTAGGAATATAAAGGAAAAATCTTTATATATCTTCTTCTCAAGAAGCACTGAACCAAGAAAAGATGAAACTCATGTGGAATCATCCTCAGGAAGTGTACATTCAAGTTTGTTTAAATCATGTCCCCCTGGGGTAGGGTTGGGTCAAAATGGCCGATCAAAGTTTAACAGGAATATATAGGAAAAATCTTTAAAAATCTTCTTCTCAAGAACCACTGGGCCAGGAAAGATGAAACTCATGTGGAATCATCCTCAGCTAGTGAAGATTCAAATTTGTTCAAATCATGACCCCCGGGGGTAGGGTGGAGCCAAAATGGCTGATCAAAGTTTAACATAGGAATATATAGGAAAAATCTTTAAAAATCTTCTTCTCAAGAACCATTAGGCCAGGAAAGATGAAACTCATGTGGAATCATCCTCAGCTAGTGAAGATTTAAATTTGTTCAAATCATGACCCCCGGGGGTAAGGTGGAGCCAAAATGGCTGATCAAAGTTTAACATAGGAATAAATAGAAAAAAAATCTTTTAAAATCTTCTTCTCAAGAACCACTGGGCCAGGAAAGATGAAACTCAAGTGGAATCATCATCAGCTAGTGAAGATTCAAATTTGTTCAAATCATGACCCCCGGAGTAGGGTGGAGCCAAAATGGCCGATCAAAGTTTAACATAGGAATATATAGAAAAAAAATCTTTTAAAATCTGCTTCTCAAGAACCACTGGGCCAGGAAAGATGAAACTCATCTGGAATCATCCCCAGATAGTGTAGATTCAAGTTTGTTCAAATCATGACCCCCAGGGATAGGGTTGGGCAAAAATGGCCGATAAAATTTTTGCATAGGAATATATAGAAAAAAATCTTTGAAAATCTTCTTCTCAAGAACCACTGGGCCAGGAAAGATGAAACTCATGTGGAATCATCCCAAGATAGTGTAGATTCAAGTTTGTTCAAATCATGACCCCCAGGGATAGGGTTGGGCAAAAATGGCCGATAAAACTTTTGCATAGGAACATATGGGGAAACCTTTTAAAATCTTCTTTTCAAGTACTTCAAAGCCATACTTAGTGATATTTATAGGGAATCATCCTCAGGTAGTGTAGATTCTAGTTTGTTCAAATCATGAACCCCTGGGGGGGTCATATTCAAGCCCCCTTCCCCCTCTTGCCCTTGGTAAACTTTCAGTTCTGATCTGATCTGTGCTTTTCTCTCAGTAATTGCTCAGGTTAGCAATGTGGCCTCTGGGCCTCTTTTTTAAATCATTGATGAATTTCTAAGTTACTGTGTGTTTTAAATGCTGTATGGTAAATGCAGTTAATGACTCTAGAGCAAACAGGGACACTGCAGAAGTAAAAAAGAAATGGGAAGTTTTAAGCAGTTTGACGAAAAAAAAGGAGGCTGAGAGCAAAGTCACAGGAGGAGGGCCTGCAATGAGTGATGATGTAAAGCCATGGGAACAACTGGTAAATTTTTGTTTTGTGCTGCATTTATTCAACACAGTCTGTAATGGAGTAAATTATAGTCATATCATTACAAAATAAAATTATATGCCATTAGAACATGAATATTATTTAAATAATTAGAATCAAAACAGTAAAGTGTATACATTTATATCTCCATTTCTATTTGTTTTCACGGAGATAACTCTTTGACATTAGTGGAGTTGTTTTTCTTGATAATTCTACTGTTAATGTAAATGTTTACAACTACAGTGTATTAATCTACATTGAAATCTAAATCTACAATTTTATTTCACAATAAATGGAAATATAAGGAATCACTGTCGAGAGTTTTGCAAGTTAATGAAATTAATAATCAAATTATCCCACGTTTCCCACTATTGTTGATGTCCTGACATGCTATATCAACTGGCTTTTTTAGAAAATAACATACATCATTATGACTGCTGTCTACATGTAGATCATTGGAACATTTACCAAGAGTGCTCTGAAGGGGGTGCAGGGAGGAATTGATACAGCGGCACCAACCGAGCGAGGTATCATATGTATAATTAATAATTTATCACGTGGATATGAATCATGTCCAGCTACAAATCATGGGAGATCTTATATTCATGTATATATCATTAAAAAATTAAACCAAGAATAAAATGAAGAAGAATTATGAAATCATAATTTATTGGCACGAATATATAATCTCAATACCTATACATTTTACAGAGACATCATACCATTTTGAAGAAGCTGTTGAAAATACCCCAGCTGTCACATCACAAGGGGTTTCTTGGTTTAAAATGGCGATTAGAAGTAAAATAATAATGTGCGTTCATATGTTAAAACACTTAATTTCAACAGTGTTAAATTATAGTGATATTGTAATTTTATTTGACAGTTAGACAATCTGAATACAGTAGGCTTATCTAAAGTGTATAAGTTGACTTATTGTACAATTGCAACAATGGCCTGTTATAAATTATATTAATACAGAATTCATGTAATGTAAGATACTTGTGAAGAGACAGAGTTTGAGACAGGTAATATATATTAATTCATCCACTGCATGGTTATTAATAATGGTTTTGATAAGCATGAAAGAGTGTCATTTTTAAACAAATATGGGTTTGTTTCAATATCAAATTCCATAATTCCCTGTAAATTTGATCTTGTACCAATCTGTATTTATATCATGATATATGTTTTAAAATTACACCTTTTTATTATGTTTAATTTCATGATTGGTTTATAATAGATTTTTGCATAATTATTCACTGAAACTTATTGAATATTTATGGAATATTTGATTTTTCAAATCATAAAGAATCTCCGATAATTTGTTGCCAAGGCTCGGGGATAAGAAGCATACGGTACAAGCCACCGGATGAAAAATGATATCCAACTATAAACCATTGGAGCTCCTATATATGTTATGTATCTATAAACATTTGTGATAATTCAACTCTTTTGTTTTGTTTAAGGTGTTTTGGCAAATTCCCTACCCTTTGCTGATGGAGCAGCTGCATATCCATATGCATATAAGAAAAAGAGAAAAAATTCTCAAAGTATTAAAGTATGGATATATTAATCTGTGGCCTTTTTCACATTACATTTCCTCTGGTTCATGCAAACCTGACTATTATTTAAGCATACTGAATGCAAAACACAACACTATAAAGTTAGTGAAATTATACTCAAGTTTTTTTTGTTAAAAGGACCACTAATGATGAAGTTGGTATTTTTAGGTCACCTGTGTCACTCAGATGACCTATTGTTTTTATCTGTTTTCATCTGTCTTCGTTTGTAAACTCTTGAACATGTTCATTAAGCTTCTTCTCGGGACCCACTGAACCAGTTTCAGCCAAATTTGGCATATAGCATCTATGGATAAAGGGGAACAAACACTGTTGCAGTTATGAGTCTCAGACTATCTCTTTAAAAAAAGATTCATTGCTTAAGTACAGACACACCCTCAGCTCATAAGCAATTTTTATGTCAAATATAAGCTTTAAGGATTCTCTGTATAAAATTAAAGCTTGACCATGATAGCATGACCAGAAAGACAGGTAGACAGACAGGCAGTCAATGTTATTCCTTTCTACCTGAAATACATTATTTATGATGTTTTTTTTAAAGAAGAAACCCATTGAAAGTATGCTATTTACCTATTTCAGGTGATGAATCATCCAACTTCAGAAGAGAGTTTCTGGAGGGGAGAAAGAAAAAAAACAAGGCCGTTGAAGAGTACAGGAAAAAGATTTTACTCCTGGAAAAAAAGTGCAACAACAGAGTAAAGTCCAGAGGAGAGCAACAACAGCACTGGAAATCTTGGCCAAAAAATTTCAGGAATCTACCCAGTCCCCCTCCCCATTTTCCGTCTCTCCTCTTATTAAATTTAGTTGATAGTTTAATCTTTATAAATTTTTTTGAAGTTTACAGAATTTGAAATAATATCATAGGAATATTTCTTATTTTCTGTATATTTAAGGTATTCAATGTATAACTGAAGGATTTTGAACATTTTTGAATAATTCTAAACTAGTTAAAAATACTTTGCTAGATAACGATAAATGTGAAATGAACCAAATTTACAAGACTGATAACATGTAAGGAGACGACCATTTAGCACATTAAAAGTTTTGAAAAGTTATCTGTCCTTGATGAAAATTTTTGATTTCACAATATTTCTGCGGTAAATCGTTAATTTTATTTCATATTTTAATAAAGAGGGAGTTTATGCATATTTTCACGAAGAGATTTGTTTTGAATTCAAAATACTTTTTCAATATTTTATATAAAAAAAAAAAAACACACATGCAGTGCCCATAGACTTCAATGTTAAACTCAAGGTGATTTTAATTGGACAATAATCAAAATTTTGTAAATTCCTTGGTGGAGCATTTTTATTTGATAACATCTTTAAAATGCTACCTGTCTTCCGCGTGGTGCAGTGGTTAGAGCGTCTGCTCTAGAGTCGTATAATAAGGAGTCAATCCTTATGTCGCAAGTTCGAATCCCACTGTCTCCATATGTGTGAAAAATTCTGGAGAGGGGCGTTAAACAACATAAAATAAATCAATCAAAATGCTGATATGATTACAAATATCGGACTATTCATTTATTAGGCACAAAATATGGTCGTTATACATTGAATACCTTAAGCATTAATCAACAGTGTTTAAAAGTTAACTGGGAAATTAAATTTGTTGATCACGTGATCAAATCCTGTAAAATCGGTAGGGTTTCCTAGTAGAATTGATCATGTGCCCATTCACAAAGTTCATTTCCAAGTGAACCTTTAAACATTGTAAATTATTACTGATACAGTCAGTTCATACAGAATTGAACATACTCTCTCTTCAATAGGTTGATCTAAGGAAAATATTCTCAAATCTAAATATATTAAAATTTAAGAATGATAATTAGGTTTGTTTAAAAGATAATAGAACAAGCATCCCCATCAAGAAGCTCTCTTTTAAGGTTGTATGGTTCATCACCTGAAATATATAGTGTCATATTTATTGTGTCATCATAAGAGTTATTCCCCTTGAAATCGCTCAAATTTGTATGGTGATAATGTTTTTTCATGCATCACGTACGATTATTTATTTATCAGTATTATGTTCTAATGTGGATAAAAACATTATGTCCGATTCATATTGATGTTATCATTTTGCTGCAGTACTTCTCTCATATTTTCCTAATCCTTTTGGAAAATTCTTGTGTACATCATTGTTATGCATGTATGTTATTTTTGAATACTGGCTATTCCAAGAGGAAAAATCTTTTAGCTTACATTTTTGTCCCCCGCTTTCGCAAAAGCGAGGGGACATTAAATCTCATTCGTCTGTCCGTCTGTCCGTCCGTCAGTCTGTCCGTCCGTCACAAAAACTTTAACCTTACCCATAACTTTTGATTTAGTGGAGATATGATTTTCGTATTTCATATGTATATTCCTTGTGATAAGACCTTTCTTTGGGTACCACCAAATTTGACCTTTTGACCTTGACCTTGGAGTTTGACCAACTTTTGCTCAAAAATTCCAAACTTTTACTTTGGCCATAACTTTTGAATGGTAGGTACTAGGACTTTTATATTTCATATATTTATTCTTTGTGACAAGACCTCTTATTGGATACCAACAACTTATGACCTTTTGACCTTGACCTTGGAAATTTACGTACTTATGAAAAAACTATAACCTTGACCATAATTTTTGAACGGTTAGGGCTATGACTTTTATAATTCACATATGTATTCTTGTAAGAAGACCTTGCATTGGATACCAAGACCTTTGACCTTTTGACCTTGACCTTGGAGTTATAAATACTTTTTAAAAATTATAACCTTGGTCACAAATTTTGAACGGTATATACAATGACTTTTATATTTCACATATGTATTCTTTGTGGCAAGACCTTTCATTGGATACCAACAACTTTGACCTTTTGACCTTGACCTTGGAGATTTACGTACTTCTGAATAAACTTTAACCTTGACCATAACTTTTAAACGGTAAGGGCTAGGGCTTTCGTACTTCACGTATGTAATTATTTTGAGAAGACCTTTCATTGCATACCAAGAACTTTGACCCTTTGACATTGACCTTGGAGTTTTAACCTTTTTTAAAAACTTTAACCTTGGTCACAACTTTTGGACGGTAGATACTAGGACTTTCATATTTTAAATATATGTATTCTTTGTGGCAATACCTTTCATAGGATACCAATAACTTTGACCTTTTGACCTTGACCCTAAAATATAATATCTCGCCCACAAAGACACCCGAAAGCGGGGGACCACAATTCTTTGAATTTGCTTGTTTATAATAAAATATTTAAAACTTCTTCTTGATTAGGTCTTGTGTCCTGATTTTCAAGCACCTGTATAATTGAACACTGTGGGAATTACCTTTTTTTAATAGATTGATTCCATATATGATTATCAACGAAAAAAAACATGCTTTGGTGTTCAATAATTCATTTAATACCATGAATGTTACCACATGTTCATTGTATGCAGTCTAAGGTATTCTTAAAAGCTCACCTGTTCATAGATATTATAATTACAGACATGTTCGTGATATTGTTAATAAATGACAGCAAGAGCACTTATATATTTATTGTTTTACAAATGTTATTGTTGAAAAAACCAAAATTGTTTTTAAAAATGTTATTATTAACAAACCAAAATTGTTTTCAAAAATGACTTTGTTGACAGGCAAAGATTGTTTTAAAAAATGTTATTGTTGACAAACTAAACAATATTAAATGTTATCACTGTTCTTTACATTTCTCATTTTTCTTCTATTCAGGCCACAAATAGAAATTGATAACAGAGTTTAGGTTCTTTTCAAATACTTTAAAATCACAAGGTGTATGAAGAGATGTACAATATCTTGCCATTTGATAGTTTAAAAACGATGAACAATTCTCTGTCTCAAGGCAAATCCATCATTGTCATTTCCATTGTATAGATCATGGTTGTGGTACACTGGCACAGCATTGTTCCCTGCCTGCAGGGGGACCCTCTCACTAATAGCCTTGTTGTGCATTTGATTTGTCATGGGACTACTTTTGGATTTAAACTTTTCAATATTAAACTAATTTCTACTTTTTCCTAACCACAGTGCTCAGGTGAGCGACGTGGCCCATGGGCCTCTTGTTTAAATATATTGTTCTTTTTCAAAATTAATAAAAAAAACACTTGTTAAAGGAAGTTCCATGTATGTTAATTCTTTATTTGTAATAATCTTGAAAACAACAGCAATCCATACTCATCAATACATAGAGATACATGTAATAAAAGCTTTGGTAAATTTAAATACATTGTACAAGTGTACATTTTTACATATGTATGTATTCTATTGTTGTACATATTTTTTAATTAATTTGAGATTAGAGAAGAATGCCAAAATCTAAATTATTTTTGCGACTGTTGATGAATGTTTATTTAAAAGAAAAACACAGTGAGAATAGTTCAATATAAGATTTGAATTAATCTACATAATAAATAGAGAAAAAAATCTTAAATTCATACAAAAATACATAATACCATTATTATTATATGTAGAATCATGCTTTACATGTATAACGCCAAATAAAAAAGCTGTCGTTGTTAAAGCACGCCGATAACGATATTTTTTAATGATCTCTGCTTTAAACAATACAAAATTTGCTTCAAAAAATATACGGAATAAATGCTGGACGTTTCATTAACAATGATACCACTAATAATGAATTTATTCAAGAATTCATTTTACTTACTATTGGCAATATCGTTCAAGTTTTTTTTCAGTATCAGACTGCAGATTTACATGCATACACATATACTTGTTTTTATTTCACAACTGCACATTTTGCTTTAGCTAAACTTACATAAAAAAAAATACTTGAAGTATTCTCAAATTAAGAAGTATGACTATAATGTATAATTTTATATACATGTACATGTAATAATTCGAATAGAAACGCGAATGGTATTGTTAAGAACGGTAACTCTACTTCTTGTTTCTTAAATGATGGAAAATTCAATTCATCGCCAAATTCGTTATACCGCCATGATTTCTGAATTACAAAAGGTGGCGGTACGAATTGACTGTACATGTACAGATTTACTTCTTGCTATTAGATAAAAGTGATTTTCATACACACTAATGATTATTTATGTAATATGTACAGTGGGTTCTCCAGTCATGGAGAAAGAAATATATATAATTTTCCTTACGTTGCCTACGTCAATAATTGATTGGTAAAAATAAACTAAACGAGAATTACGTGGAATTAGATTTACTAAATATGTACAAACAATGATTCTCTAATGATTCCTCTAATGTTCCTGAGCTATCCTAGTGCTTTAACTTTTCAAGGTCTGAAACCAAGTATTTGAGCTTCCAAAGCTCCCAGACCTTATGTCTCAGAGTAGTGTCTCCAAACACTCTCTATTAAACTTATATTATTTCAATAGGTTTGGAACCTAATGCACCCCAAATGGTATGTCTGCAGTATACTGAGACCCGCAAATGAGGCACAATAAATTCCTTACCTTTTCAACACGATCCACGCTGATCAGCTGTCACTGGTAGACTAACTACGAGCATCAGCGCTCGCCAGTATTTATAGTTACCCAAAGACGCTGAGTCATCATCTTTGTCTTAGTCACTAAAACGTTTAATGTTATAAAGCTAATACACTAGGAAGCATCTGATTGATAACTTATTTGCATATTATTAATTTGATCAAGGAAATTTCTACTACATTTATAACAAGAGGCCCAGGGGCCATATCGCTCACCTGAGCAATTGGCTAGAAAAAAGCACATATCAGATCAGAACTGAAAATTTACTGAGGGCGGGGAGGGGGGGGCTTGAATTTTACCCCCCCAGGGGGTCATGATTTGAACAAACTAGAATCTAAATATCTG